GACAGTATCTATTGGAATTATTGTATTATTAAATCAATATTGTTTGTTTGTTGTTCATGAGACCCATTTATTTAGCATAAATATTATTTTACAATTAAAAAAAAGCAATGAAACATTGTCTTCGCATTTTGGGAACAGTCCCCTGTCTATATTTCAAATAAGGTAATATTTATGTATTTTAATGATTCTTCAAAAATTTAAATTAGTACAAGTGTAGTAAAATAGCATAGTTCAATTACATTTTATACTAGTCTTCAATGAAACAGTCCCCTGGCAAAAGTTAGAACGAGTTGCCCAGTTTACAGAGAAACGCCCAGTTACAACACCGTAATGTATGAAGTCTAATGATGGACCATGTCATGCAACAGATGTCTTTCGTGTCAATGTGTGTGTGTATTCTGCGTGTACATCTATAGTAGCCAGGTGCCACAGCCATTGTTTCAAGAGACTGTGGCCGACTTTATTTCAACATCCTTAGTTCTGGCACACCACAGGTTAATGCAACCTGCAATGTTATTGTGAAACTGAATAAAAAAAGAGTTCCCATTTCTTTTCTTTTCTTCTCTATAGGAATCTACACATTTTCCTAACCAATAAATAGTATCACTATAACTGACAGACTGATGCTTACAACACATCAAAATAAAATTTCATCTAATGAAACCGTTGTTATAGTACTACACTAAGTAATATATTATGTCATTATTTTGCCTATGTATTATATTTGGTAGTGTTTTGGTCATCTATTAGCATCACCATGAGTGTATTGGACCAGTGAAGTAGTAACTACAGAGCGACAAGTAGGCAAAATGCTTTCATCTGAACTTCTCTATATATGTATTGGGAACATAGAACCCATCCAATGAATTTGCCACGGGCCCTGGCGGGTATAATTTATGCCACTGTGTTTTACCAAGTAGACAACTAAAATATAGTCTTTGACATATATATAATCAAACAACATTGTATCCTTTGGTTAGGCCCCACAAAAAATTCTTCATTCAAATTTTGCATGTTACTTAATGTAGGTAAACAAACAGGAGATAAAGTTTTAGGATTATTGATCCAATTTCATCATTTTCTTGATTGAGATATTTGGTGTTAGGAAATCAAGTAACCTTTAAAACCGTCTATTTTAATTCACTGAACACTTATTTTCACAGAATGTAATGGTGATAGTAATCTCTATGAAGCACTATTATGCACACCTTGTTAGTTTAGACGTACTAATTAGAAGACATTGGAATTAAAGAATACTGATTTAAACAACATACATTTTTTGGTCTTCATAATGTTGTAGATTGTGTCAAAAAGCGAGGGAAATGTATCAATGTTTTTCGTTCAAAAAATATATATAAAAGATATGCATGACAAATAGATAATGCTGTTGCGTTTAAGTACAGTAAGAATAAATATCAAATTACTGCTTCTATCACAAAATCTCTAAATTTATTAAAAAGCAACATACCCAGATCCTTTGATAGCTTTTTTCTTCTTTTTCTTTTTGTCTCCCGACGGTCCACTCAAATATTTTTGCAAATAAGCTTTTTGGTTTATAGTTGTACCCATTTTAATTAATTTTAAAAGCTGTCTATCTAGTATTATTTAATTTGATACAATATTAAAAGACATCACGTTGTCAAACTGTCTTACATTACATTTATTGAAGTTGACTTCGTTTCGTCTGACATTACATTTATTGAAGTGTTGTTCAAAAGGTTAGCATGTTATTATGATGTGCCTTTTTCTTCAACTTGCGGTAACCTGAGACCGAAATATCATGCATGCTAAAAATACCAAGAATTACAGAAAAAATAATGAACTCTAACTATTATCATAAACAAGAACATGACGTTTCGAACTTTCGAGTTTTCAAACTATTTGAATCATAGAGAAAGACAATTTTTTTTGTGGAAAATATTTTTTTTTTCCTTTTTATTTTTTTTACTATAAGTACAATAAAACTAAAATGCCGTCACCCATAATAATACAACGGTGAATACAAGGACGTTGAAAAAAAGGATGAACATGCTGTAAATTTTTTAAGTTTCATATTTTATTAATTAATACAACAACATTGAAAAATTATCAAATAATTTATTTTTACGTTGTAAATATTTTAGCCTTGTAGTTATTATTTCTTTCATCATTTAATATATATTTAGTTTAAAGTTCATTTTTAGTTTAATATTACGTATGACAAAATTAACTGAAAATCGCGGGTTACTCACATGAATATACTAAGCTCTACTAGTTTCGAACCACATAGGGGCTTCATTCCCGCGATTTTTAGTTAATTTAGTATGTCTCACGATAGTTCGTCGTCGGGTCTTCTCTGCGGCCCCGGCTGGGAGCGCGAAGTCTTGCGATCCAGGCCGATGCCTGTTTCGGCGGATGCGCTCGCTGCCTGCTACAGCCGGCGAGGGGTTGGATTAGTCGGGCTCCTTGCAGGGCCCGATGCGGTGTCGAGTCCGGTGGTTTGCCCCGCCATGACCCGCGCTCTAGCCGGGCAAGCCCAGCGAGTGGCGGGCTGGTAGCGGCGCGCGGTCGTGTCCGGTGGGGGCGGAGACTCTACCGACCCGCCAGCGGGCGGGCGCCGCTCGGAGTGCTCGAATAGTGTGGTGCTCAGGCGCTGCACGAATGCGTCGACACTCTCTACGCCGAGGTCTCGGGCGATTGTCGCGTTCCGTACGAAGCGCGGGGTTTGGACGATGGTGCGCAGCGTCAGCGACTACTGCGCACGGAGGCGTTTCTTTTTTGATTCGTACGCGAGCGCGTACCAAACGGCAGCCGTGTCCGAATGTAGGCCTTGTAAATGCGGAGAGGCGAGCTTCGTGCGGAGAGGTAGCGCCAGGTCGATCACCGGGCACAGGAGGTGACGTGCGGCGCGCGCCCCAACAGCAGCCTGTTGCACGTGGGGCGTCATTGAAAGCGAGCGGTCGATGGTCACGCCGAGGTTTTCAATGCTCGGCGCCCACCGGACCTGCTGTCCCATGAGTGTCATGGGTTTCAGCTTCATGATTCACACGGCGAGTGCTTGAGCCTTGGCCACGTTCACGGCCAGTCTCCACTTCTCCAGCCATTCAGGGAGTGCATCTAGGTCGCGCTGTAGTTTGACTACTGCGTGCCTCGGGTTCAGTGACGTCGTGTAGTAGGCGGCGTCGTCGGCGTACAGCGCTAGCTTGACACTGTCCATGACGGGGATGTCGTCCGTGTACACGCAGTAGCACACGGGTGAGATGCAGCTTCCCTAGGGTACGCCGGCACGGATATTCCGCTCTGTCGACAGAATGCCTTCTACTGCCACTTGGAAGGTTCTGCCGTGCAGGAAGGTGGCCACGATCTTAACTAGTCATCGAGGAGTAGTAGATGTGGCCAGCTTGCTGAGCATGCCAGACGCGATCGAACGCCTTCTCCATGTCTCGAATACTGCCGCGGCGCGCTCGCGCTTGTTGCGCGCGGCCGCCAGGTCGTGCAGTACCCTCGCGACTTGCAGGGTGATGGAGTGTTCGGCCCTGAAGCCGAACTGTTCGACGCGTGGCTGGAGTTACGATAGTTAGTTACGATTTCTATCAAAAAAAAAAGTATAATTATATCCGTGTTAATTTGCATGTAAACTCTGCATGTGCAATGTACGATTTTGTGACGTCATCCGTTGACATATAACGCGACGTGTGTCGTGTCGCCACTGTCAAACATCTACAGATACCGACATATTCAGATTGTCAAACGTATCCACGGATACACAGACCATGATGCGGAGCGAGGGGGACTGGGATGCCGTCTCTTCCATTTGCGAAGCAGTCATGCTAGCTCCTCGAAATCCAGCCATCGCGAAGGACACACCGGGCGTCGAGGATCGCGGGACGATCTCCGGTCACCGTAAGCGCGGGCGTGTGGACGGCGAGCATGGGTGGCTCCCCGTCCGACCAGAAACAGACCCGAGCGTACGGCGCGTCGCGTTCCGCGCGCGCCTCAAAGAGCCCTCAGACCACCACAGATGGGGCCCAACAGGGCCGTTGCTGATTCGGAGTCGCGGAGAACCTAACGGTTACCGGGGCTCCGGCTCGACGTGCAGGAGAAGGAACGGGGTGGTTTTTAGTCAGTAAAAGTCTGACACTCCCTCCCGCCTCACTCAGACGTTTTAATCGAGGGTCGAAGCATAGATGTCGGACGGGCACGGCGGCCTGTGCCCACCGATTGTTATGAGTGCTACATGTTCATACACGTCGCTCGGAGAATTACCCCTCCCCTCGACTCATGGTTAGTTTATATGTATAGTTAGATATGTTTTAATTTTTGACAATGAAACCTAAATCAAGCTGTATTTAGAACTACTTCTTTGCAGTTAATTCAGATTCGACAAAGTGTAAACTGTATATGAAGACGTATTCAAGAAAGGGAGGTACGACGTCTTTAAAAAGGCATTTGAGGTTTGTTCATGCCATTGAATATGAAGAATTAATAAAGTTAGAAACTGAAAAAAAAAGACTGAACAGCCTTTGACTTCGACGTCCCTTCAGGATGCTAGAAAACAAATGACTTTGAAAGAAACTTTGGCGAAGAAACAAAATGGTGCACTTCTAATCCTAAATCTATAGAAATTGACAAATTAATTTCTGAAATGAATAAATAAATACTGCATTATGTTTAATTTGTCTTTAAATAATAATTCTCTCTCATATCACCACTACTGACCCTACCTCCGATTCCGATTCCGACTCCGGTTCCGATTCCGAAAAAGAAAATTTAAAAACTCCGATTCCGCCTTCGGTTCCGATAAAACTACTTCCGTTACATCCCTAGTCTGCGCCCCGAGCGTGCGCTAACATCGAGGCGCGTAGGTATAGCTCGCGTTTCGTCCGTTTCTAAGATGTTGGAATACTGTGTAATATCAGTCTATATACTGTGGTAATATTATTACCGTCGTTGAATGTTATAATTATAACGTTGCAAAATCATAGTCATACATTATGAGGTTATAAAAAAAACAAAATTGCTACAGCTATAGGCACTGTTTAATATTTTTTTCATTGTTGCTTTTCTATATAGTTAAACATATTTCAGTTCCATTGGTGAGTAGCAGTTTGTCGTTCAAATATATCACATTTGTTGACGTTTCCCAACTTGTTTTTTCATTATTAGGTACATCATAATATTACTTGTCATTATCTGCCCTGAAAAATAAATAAATAAGATTTAGTAAATAAAAATTACTTACACATTTATCAGGGGTAGGCAGAGTTGCACATTACAGCGCTTAATGCCACTGTACAATGCAACATCCACTTTTCATTATTTATGTTATGATTCCCATGTAATAGGGGGTGAGTCTATTGCCATATACCAGGTATAATTCCAGACTCCGTGCTACTACTGAGAATTTATTAATTTTTTAATTACATGGGACTCGTAACATAAATAGTGAAAAGTGGGTGTTACATTGTACAGTGGCATAATGTGCACCTCTGCCTACCCCTTCGGGATAAAAGGCGTGATGTTATGTATGATAATGTGTTAATGTTAAATAATATCATTGTTTAATAATTTAGAATCACGTAACACTTGCACAAGAATAGTTAAAGAATTAGTAATGTTTGTCCATATTTAAGTCCAATAGAAACCTATCGACGGGCTGTACTTTCGATCGACGCAGTCTTCCTACACCATTTCAGAATGTAAAATCGTAATTTATTAAATTAGTAATGAAATGGTGTAGGAGACGAGCCAATAAATAAAATATGAAAAGAGGGCCCCGGAACTGAATCGATTTCCCCGCTCGAGAAATAAAGCGAGACGGAGAAACTTCTCCTTCGCTCGGGTCGCGGGTTGGATATAGCCAAAAATGCGACGTGCGTGCCGTCACCGAACGTACGTCGTACAGTTTGGGGTAATATCAGTAGCGGCTTTACAGCCAGTCGACACAGTTGGTCGCAGTTCGTTGGAATCACAATCAGCATCAGAAGAAACATCGTGCAGTGTTTGGGCTACCGCTGCTCGACAGCTGTCCTAGTTATCGTTAACTAGCCTCGGTGTCGCGAATCGGCAAAGTCGCGACCTAGTAACATACTACTGTACCGAATTTATAGCAGGATCGCGGAACGGCAAAGCCGCGATCAACATCGATCACCTTCAGTGATTATTAGTGAGTTATCACTAATAATCACTAGGTGTTAACCTATCTCCGTTATCAGTGTAATTGTGCAAGCAAGTGTTTGTGGAATCGTGCAAACACATAGTACTGTGTAAACTCCGTAGAATTACGTATAAAGTTGTATATAAGTCATATAATCACCGTAAGTGCGAGACAAACTGTTATCCGTGTCATATCAATTTTGTGCAATATCGTTTTGAATCGTGGAACTCTCGTAGCCTAAAAAGTACTGTATATAATTCACTAGAAACGCTTCTAAAGCGTGTGCAAAAACTATTACTAACGTAAGAATACTTTCCAGACTTTTACCTCATAATTTAGTGTTGATTATCGTACTTTTATATATTTTCCAATCAGTGACTTTATAATTTATTTTTTTTTTAAAACGTTGCCCCGCAAAGTCAAAAGTCAAAGTCAAAATCATTTATTTCAATTAGACCGGGATGGCACTTTTGAACGTCAAACAACAAAAATTTATAAGTGAAGCTAGTTGCTCATTCCAAGGCGTAGATTCCTATGGAGAAGAACGAGCAAGAAACTCCATAGGTTACTCTTTTTCAATCAGGTTTACAATACAATTCTCTAGTTACATAGTTTTATTGGTTCGATTATGTGAGAACAATGCAACACCCAAATCCAGTCAGAAAGACTGAAAAAGAAAATAACCTTGAGGATAATAAAATAAAATGATACAGTCTGGAGCTGACCAGTTCCAATCGACGGTGCCCGTTCACGAACATTTGGCGAAACCTAGCACCGCCCAACTCAACCATTTTGTAGGGAATCGAGCGATCCAATGCACGTGCCACCGCCAACGAGATCTTTGAGTGAGCATGACAACTCCAAGCTGACATAAATGCAATCTACTAGTCTAATTTGATTTAGTTAATTACAGGGCTCTCACATTTACAATAAATTGTGCAACGTTTTAAACTATACAAATATTTAAGCAACATGATTATATTATTACACAAATAGAATTCATTGAACATCACTGTGTTTCATGTATTATCCTGCGGAGCCGGACCAGCCTGCCTCCAAGCACTTTTATCCTCTATATAATCATTTAGTTTGTAGTATGCTTGTGTACATAACGTTTTTTTAATACATAGTTTAAATTTTCTTTCATTTAGATGCAGTATTTCTTGGGGGATTTTGTTATAACATTTAACACCTATTCCCATGAACGACTTATGTACTTTTGACAATCTAAAAAACGGCGGACTTAATCTATTCTTATGTCTAGTTTCATAATTGTGTCTGTCAGACACTTTACTAAATAAATGTAGGTTTTTCCACGCACTAGGATTTTCTCCTGTGTCGTGGGTGCGTTTACAAACATACAAGTTCACATACACATGACACCCAGACCCGAAACAACAATTTGTGGATCACACAAAGTGTTGTTCCGTGCGGGAATCGAACCCGCGACACGTTGCACGGCAGCCGGTTGCCCAGCCACCGCGCCAACCGTGCAGTCCAAATAATAAATATCGTGTTTGTTTACATTTACCGTTGTTTTATTCCACAATCCCGTATTACCTACTCATGACCGGCGCACGATGTGTGCATAGGATAGACGCACAACAACTACAAAATTAAATGATATGTGCTCCGTTCACAGAGTAATTATTGTTTTGATATAGCGCTGTATCTGGTTAAGTGCAGCGAACTTACTAAACTTAAGGAGCATATACAAAATTTCATTTGTATCTTCTTCAAATTTGAGTTACAAGATTCCATTTGACAATCATACCTAAATAACAAGTTAAAAATAAAAAAGCTTGCAAGGGCTTGCAGCCCACAAAATACCTACTTATTAACATTTTCCATTCAGTTAAGATTCAGTGTTTTGCATTAGCACCACATGTATATTTATTATATCTGAGTTTTATGGAGGGGCAATTGGGTGGTATCCTTAATCAAAAATAAATAATTTTAACTGTTCAATATACAATAAAATATTAAAAAATAATCACACTTTCATTAATTGATTTTAAGACCAACTTAATTTTAGTATTTTTCAAGCAAATTTTTAAGAAATAAATATTATTATGCTTTTTGTAGCTAATAAATGTGACGTCACAATTCAGAATCTCGTAAAAATCATATAAACTATCATGACAGTTCGAAAAAAGTATTGAATTTGATTATTTGGCAAGTACCCAATTGTGGCTTCACCGGTTTTGCATACATTTTGTGCACTATATCACCTTCTTTAATAGCACTGAATCTTATATAGAATAATAGGGTTTTATTTTGGAGGGAGAAAGATGTATCTAGTTAGTATCAGAAATAAAAACCTGGGGTTAGATCTCGTGGCTGCCTTTCTTCTTCTCCTCGACTTTACCACTTCGTAACATATGCCTGTCTTGTTCATGATCCTAGAAATGAGAAATAAAATGTTGGTAAAATAATTTACATTATATTAAACCCTTAGTTAAAAATATATAATCTATTCACATAAATAAGACTAGAGTGTCTGTTTCTAATAGTTTACTACATGCACACGAATAGGTATATGTTTCCGTTTCCGTTTTTTAAAAAAAGTTGCGATTAGTATACTTTAGTTATTTTCATAGTGTCATGTCATATATGGTATTCTCCTATGGGGGAATGCTGCTGACATTCAATCTATCTTTGTTCTGCAGAAGAGGGCCATTCGATCAATTTATAATCTTCCGAGGTACTCTCTCAGGGAACTATTTAAAGAAATTAATGTGATGACTCTTGCCTCCCAATACATTTATGAAAATGTAGTATAATTTATGCTCATAAAAACAAAAGTTTATTTAAAAAGCATAGTGATATACATAATATCAACACGAGAAATAAAGACAAATATGTTGTTCCCACTACTAGACTAAAGAAAATAAGTGGTTCGTTTAGATGTCAGAGTATACGCTTTTACAATAAAATTCCCAGCCGTATCCAAAATTTGAGTCTAAATAAATTTTAAAATGTCATTAAAGATAAATTTTATAGTAAAGTTTTTTATAAAATTAAAGACTACCTAGATGATAGTCTGGCTTGGGAATAAGCTGCTGTAACGTCCACACAGGTCATGTTGACATGTTTGTAATATATAGTTAAATTTCTTGACATTGTTTTAATATGTTGTTCTAACTTGACATTTGCTTTTTCCCTTACAATTTTTAGTGCTAGGACCGTGCGAGACTTTGCCTCACCATTTCTTTTCTAATTACCCATATTCTGACAGTTTGAGTATTTGTGCGGCCTACGCAAATGTTCTTTGGGTTGGTATTGTTCGTCGAATCAGTCAGCCACACCTGTTAATTGAGCTGACTGTAAACCGACACATGCGTACTGCCTTCAGGACGGGTCCGCTCAAACTGTTGTAGTTCTTTCCTCAAAAGCCCACTACAGAAAGAACTTGCACGGTTCTCACACATAATCTGTTATACATATTGTCTGGCCTTTAAAAGAGACAGACTTCTGAGTTTGTTTCGGCATTTCTTCTCAGAATAGTCAGTTAGGAAATGTCGACGTCGTCGTTCGCTTGATAAAATTGACGTGTAAAAGTGCTGCCTTGTAGCCTATTTGCAGAAATAAATTCACTTGTTTCACTTGTAATGTACGGTCAAAGATTAAAGTCGACTGCCACCGTAATGACTAAGGGTGTAACCACACGAGCGGCGGCGCGGCTGCGGCGCGGTGCCTAAGTCTCTCCGGTGTCCCATAGATGGCGCTGTATGTATTGGTATATGTCACATAGACTACTATTTATCCTTTTGTGACGCGAGCGAAGCCGCGGGTAAAAGCTATGACTATTATAAATGGGAAAGTGAGTTTGTTTGTTTGTTTGTTTGTTCTACCTTCACGCCGTAACTACTTAACCGATTGCTTTGAAATTTTGTTAGAAGTTATTTAGAAGTCCAGATTAAATAATAAAGTACTTTTTATCCCGGAAAAATGTGATATTCCCGAGGGAAAACAAACATATATTAGTATAGATGGCGCTGTATGCCATTTAAAACAATTCAACGAATTACCTACTAATTGGAAATTTCACACAATCTATACTTATTCGGTGCACTTTTCGACTCATTTATTTGCTGTTTTATATGGTAATCTAAAACAGCATCTAATCTAAAACAGCAAATAAATGAATAAAAAAAATATATAATATAAGCAAATAAATGAATAAATAAATTATTCGGTGCACTTTTCGACTAATTTATTTGCTGTTTTATATGTCATTTTAAAAACGTGGTAACGTTGTGTTTTTAAAGTATTTTTCGTTTTTAAATGTTGGTTCCTACCATTTTACATTGAATTGTGTATTTATAAATTTTAGGTTGTTAAAGGTACACGAATTTGGTGTCTATGTAGTAGTTACGCTACTTGACGATAGATGGAGCTGAGTGTTTATAAAATGGGGTAGCGTTGTGTTTTTTAAGTATTTTTCGCTTTAAAATTTTGGTTCTAACCATTTTACATTAAATTGCGTATTTTATAGATTTTAGGTTGTTAAAGGTACACGAATTTTAATTAGCAATTATATTGTACGCTGTTGTTTCAACGCTCGATAGATGGCGTTAGGATCGAGTTAGATGGCGCTATGGTTTCGTTACCGGCGAAAGTATAGGTTTCGAGCTTCCATAGCAATCGTATACAGGTCATTACAGGCGTACGCATCTGGCACCCTAATTGATTTGTATTCGTTCGCTCTATAGGTTTGAATATTCAAGTGTTGTTTTTCTAGGTAGATATTATTATATAAAGTAGTTAATTTTTTTGTCGTTTTTAGTCACTTATTTCATTGAACGTTGATTGAGCTGTATATTAGTTGGGTTAGATTAGTGAAGTGGTTTATTTTTAATTCTAAGTAGATGTCTAAAGTAGTTAGGTTTTCGATAGGGAATTACGTCGCTTTGTTTGTCGTTTAGATTATTATAGTTTAGTTTTTATTTTGTACTTTATTTTTTAGGTTAGTTTTAGTGAGTTAGTATTTTATATTTTTAAATTTAATAGTTTAATAGTTTACTCATATTTTTAAAATGCCTTCCAAACGTATATCTAATTTGTCGAGTACCTCATCTAAAGCTCGGGCAATGAAAATTGCCCGATCTCAAGAATCATCTCTCCATGCTGAATTAAGAAGGCGCGCTCAAGCAGAGCGTCAGGCTGCTTCGAGAGCGGCTGAGCTACCATCTCAGCGCCAGCAAAGACTTGAGGAGCAAGCCGCTCGCCAAGCTTCTTTGAGGGCTTCTGAGAATGATATTCGTACTCAAGTCCGTATATCACAACAGGCTCAACGTCAGACAGCACTAAGGGCGTTAGAGTCCCCTTTTCAAACGCAGCTACGTTTAGAGGAGCAGGCTGAAAGACAAGCTGTTTTGAGAGCTAATGAGACACCTCTTCAAACGCAACAACGTTTAGAGGAGCAAGCTGAGCGACAGGCAGCTTCAAGAATGGCAGAGACTCCAGAAGAGTCTCTGGAGAGAAGAACCGTGCATGCAGAAATGCAAGCTGAACGGCGTCGAGCTTTCATGAGAAACAGTTGGTCTGTGTTTAATAATACTGCATTCAAATACGATCCTTTGATCGATTACAAAAACCATTTCTTGGTCGTCATCGGGTTAATGAATAAAAAATGTAGGTTTTGTGATACCCTTAAATGGAAGGACGAAACGGCAGGTCTATGTTGCGTCAATGGGAAAATACGTATTTCTACATTGGATGCACCAGAAGAACCCCTCAAAACTCTTCTTTTATTCGACTCTGATGAGTCACGGCGCTTTTTAAATAGGATTCGAAAATATAATTCCTGTTTCCAGATGACATCTTTCGGGGTAGATCGGGAAATAATCATGCCTGGTTTTTCACCAACTTTTACTGTACAGGGCCAAGTTTACCACAGGATCGGTTCTTTGCTTCCCGCGGCCAATGAACAACATAAATTTCTTCAGATATATTTCATGGGAGATGAAGATAATGAAGCGGATCGGCGATGTCAGTACATTCAAGGAGTTGAGAGGGAGGTCGTAGTAAAAATCCAAAGAATGTTGCATGAGCATAATCAACTTATCAATACGTTTAAAACGGCTTTAGACCGCATGCCTCACGAACAGTACAAATTGGTTATTCATGCCGATCGCACTCCGCACGGAGAACACGAGAGACGATTCAATGCGCCTCTCATCAATGATGTTGCTGCAGTGGTTTGTGGTGACTTTTCTTCATCACGCGACATCATCCTCCGTGCGCATGATAATACTTTGACACGCGTACCCGATACTCACAAGTTCTATGACGCCCTTCAGTATCCCTTGATTTTCAGCAAAGGCCAGGAAGGTTACCATTTTGACCTGCCATTAATCAACCCAACTACAGGTCAACCCATGGCTAATAAAAAAGTATCCTGCATGAATTTTTATGCTTATCATATGATGTTGCGTGAGAATGGTTTTAACTTGCTGCCCCGTTTCAAGCAACTTTTCCATCAGTTTTTAGTGGACATGTGGGTTAAAACAGAGAGCGAGCGCCTCCGTTATATAACTCTGAACCAAAAGAAATTACGAGCTGAACAATACATTCACCTGCAAGATGCAGTAAGTAACGATGCCAATGTAAATCCCAGGGATTTAGGAAAGATGGTCATTCTCCCATCAACTTTTATCAATAGCCCGCGATATTTACACGAATATACGCAAGATGCTTTTGCATACGTACGTGCTCACGGCCGTCCCGATCTCTTTGTTACATTCACCTGTAACCCATCTTGGAAGGAGATAACCGATGAATTAATGCCAGGTCAGAAACCAATTGACAGACACGACTTGATAGCTAGAGTATTCAGATTAAAAGTACAGAAACTTATGAGTGTCATTACCAAAGGTAAAGTATTTGGCGACGTGCAATGTTACATGTACTCCATCGAATGGCAGAAAAGGGGGCTGCCCCATGTTCACATTTTGATTTGGCTCAAGGAGAAACTGCGACCAACACACATTGACAATCTGATTAACGCTGAAATTCCTGATTCTACAGGAGATAAGGAGTTGCACGACACTATAGTTAAAAACATGATACATGGTCCCTGTGGCACACGTAACTCTACGTCACCGTGTATGAAGGAGGGAAAATGCACAAAAAAGTACCCACGCTCACTTATAAAAGACACTATCCACAATGAACAGGGTTATCCGTTATACAGAAGAAGATCACCTGAAGACGGAGGCCGAACGGTTACTATCAAAACCCGCAGCGGAGCTTTTGAAATTATGGACAATAGTTGGATTGTACCGTACTCGCCAATTTTATGTAAAATATTTAATGCCCATATAAATGTAGAGGCCTGCGGTTCCGTGGGCGCTATAAAATATATTTGTAAATATATAAACAAAGGAACCGATCAAGCCGTGTTCAATTTTATACAGAAAGCTGGGTCATCTGTCATAAACGAAGTGCAGGCTTTCCAACAGGGGCGTTATGTGAACAGCAATGAGGCAGCATGGCGACTTTTCGGATTCCCATTACATGAAAGGCATTCAACTGTTACTCATTTGGCCGTGCATTTAGAAAACGGAGAGCGTGTATATTATAATGAAAACAATTTTTATGAAAGGATCGCGGCGTTTCCAATCCCCAACAGCTATGGGAAAAATATAAAAATGATATGGCAGAAGATATATTAAGTGGATTGCAGATAACCCACCCGGATATCACGTACAATGATTTTATTTACAACGAGGCTCTCACTAAAATAGAAAATAAAACAATGGAAATAACTGGTAAAAAATTAAGTGAATTTGGAATAACTAGCCCACAACGATCAGAGGAAAGCGTAAATGACATCGCCAGAGAGCTAGATTATAATGTCACTATACTGCAACAGCAAGTAAATAACATGGTCCCACGATTGTTACCGGAGCAAAAAACTATTTTCGACGAAGTAACACGCTGCATAGAGTCAAGGAATGGTGCACTTTTCTTTCTTGATGCTCAGGGGGGCACTGGAAAAACCTTTTTGCTGAACCTTCTTCTGGCTCATGTCAGGAAGGATAAAAACATTGCAGTAGCCGTTGCTTCCTCTGGAATTGCTGCCACGCTGCTCATTGGAGGACGAACTGCGCACTCCGTATTGAAACTGCCTCTAAATCTTGCTCAAGAGGAATCTCCAACCTGCAATTTTAGTAAAAATAGTGGTCGGGCCGCGATGCTGCGCCAGTGTAAGCTGTTAGTTTGGGATGAGTGTACCATGTCGCACAAAGGAGCTATTGAAGCTCTCAATAGGACTTTGCAGGATATAAGGGACTGCAAGAGCATAATGGGAGGATTGGTAGTTTTATTAGCAGGTGACTTCCGGCAAACACTACCAGTCATACAAAGATGAAATACTACTCCAGCAGATGAAATAAGAGCTTGCCTAAAATCGTCTAAGTTATGGGACCATGTCATAAAGTTACAATTAACCACAAACATGCGAGTGAGATTATTCAACGACATTCAATCGGGCCATTACGCAGAAACATTATTAAATATCGGTGACGGGAAAATGACAGTAGATGCAGAGGGAATGATTACTTTAACGGAAGAGTTTTGTAACGTTGTGGGCAGCGAATCGGAGTTGGTAGCAAAAGTTTATACTGACTTACACGATAATATACATGATGACCAATGGCTCTGCGAACGCGCAATATTAGCACCAAAAAATGAAACGGTCACTAAAATAAATGACTATATTTTGGATGAAGTTGTGGGGGAACCTACTGAATATTTATCTGTAGACACAGTAGTAGAAACAGAACATAGTACCTCATATCCTGTAGAGTTCTTAAATTCTTTGGAAATATCTGGGGTGCCTTCTCATAAATTAAAATTAAAAGTAGGGGTTCCGGAGATGCTCATGCGTAATGTTGATGCCCCTAGACTGTGTAATGGTACCAGGCTGCGTGTCACTCATCTTGGGCGGAATATTATTACAGCAACTATTTTAACTGGCGCAGCAAAAGGTGAAAGTGTACTCATTCCTCGGATTCCGATTATTCCAACGGACCTCCCATTTCAATTTAAAAGACTTCAATTTCCTATAAAGGTTTCATTTGCAATGACCGTTAATAAAGCACAAGGCCAGACTATGAGGGTTGCTGGAGTACACTTAGAAAAACATTGTTTTTCGCATGGTCAGCTTTATGTAGCGTGTTCCCGGGTATCCAGTGCCCAAAATCTGCACGTTTTTGCTCCCAAAAGTAAAACGTATAATATAGTTTACCACTCAGTTTTGGTTTAACATTGCATATGAAACCCTTATAGGAAATAGAAGTCTTTTAAATTGAAATGGGAGGATGGTATTTGTGGTAATGCGAAAATAACTCCTGTTGTTCTTCCATGCTAAATGACTGAACGGATTTTGAAGAAATTTGGTATAAAGGTAGTTTGAGTCTTGGAAAAGCAAGGCTTTACCGCGGCAAAACTTCTCAGTCACAGTCCTACGGAAAAATCTAAAAAGCGCGATATAACAGAATTCCACGCGGTAAACAGCTATTTGTTTATTTGCCTGGTTTAAACGGCAAAACGAAGGTACTTAACGTGATTTTTTAACTAATAGGTAATTGAAGGGATGGATAGTCACATAGGCTACTTTTTATCCTTTTGTGACGCGAGCGAAGCCGCGGGTCAAAGCTAGTAGTATATAGTTTTCAATGATATCAAATATTTCGCATTGCTCGTAGTTGTAAGCTTGGCGCAATGGTTATCGCATAAGAATTTCGATGACGGGTGACAGGTTTGATCCCAGCTTTGATGATGTTCTTTTTGTGTTTATAAAATATTTATAAATATTATTTAATGCAACATTTCTAATTTTTCAATAGCTAAGTATATAGTTTACAATTTTCAAGGTAACCACGGAACTTTGAAGTTATTTTATTCGATCCGTTTATGAAGTAACTACCGATAATCTAAAATAATTTTTCAAACACCCCACATTATAAAAAGATTGTGTTCTTAGTTGTCAGTCTACGAGAAGCTATAATTAATGTTATCCGCTACATATTGTCAACCTTATTTATACAGAGATAAGATTCATAATAATTGTTAATCGATATGACCAAAAACTTTAGTAATATCTGAATAATGAATGTTAACGCAGTTAGCTTTTTGTCTACAAATAGGAATATTTTATTGTTTTATTTTACAGAAAACAGAAAAGAATATACAAATACAAAATCGGGATAGATGTGAGTTCGAATCTAAGGTTGGGCTTTAGGGTCTTTATATAACATATAATATAAACAGTAAGTATAGTATAAGCATCAGTATATAAAGTGTAAAAAAGATACATATGATTATATTATTTATAACGATTACTGTTGTAAATTTGAGTAATTTATTTTACTAAATTGCTTTGAACAAATAGACAATACAATAAATATATTATAAAGGTAATCTATTGTTATATGATAAAACAAATTTTGAACTTAAAGTAACTTTGTAATATATTTTACTTAAAAGAAATCATTTACATTTATATTCTTATTATAAAAACGCATTTTAGGTTACATAATTCTAGACATAATGAAAGTTCTGAGGTTATAGCTTAATTATTCATTTTCTCAATGAAAAGAGTATTGAAACTTAACCTCAGTCTGAATACTAATTCAATACTAAGTCAGGGGACCGAGCTGACCAAGAAATAACTTTTATTTCAAGATGATTGCTAAACCGTTCACAAACAACGCTGGCACGCTGAATGGTACAGTTGTCTTGCACAAAGCTTATCTCGCTTCCGTCTTCTCGAGGGTAGACATTACGCACCGTAGGCAACATAACATCGTTCAATACTTCCCAATACTTCCACATAATTGACACTTGCTTTCGGGTATTGATCTTTTTTCCAGCAAAGAAGGTATCCAAATTCTGGAAAACGTAGTACGAACGGACGTCTGTAGGCGCAAGGCCTGGTGAGTAGGGTTCCCAGTTCTTGCAACTCGGAGACCGTCTGCTGTGCAGTATGCGGTCGCGCGTTCTCGCGCAGGAGCACCGGAGACGAGCGATTGAACAATGCTGGTTGGAGATACGCTGGCTTCTCCATCATTGTGTTCAGCTCTTCACACTACACATCTACAGAATGCGTGAGCATTCTTCAAATAGGTGACCGTTTGGTAAGAAGCTGATGATGATGTGTACTTTCGGTGCTGTACCAGGATCCAACGAACTTGCTGAGCGTTTGTGGTTATCAAACAGAATTCATTTGTCATCGCAGGTAACAATGTGGTTCAAAATTCCTTATTTTGTGTGTTTGTTCAGCAGTGCAAGCCACGTCTCGGCGCGTACTGCGCACTGGTGTTAATTGAGTTCATGATCAAATAAAATTTATTTGTAAATAGAATTCTTAGCTAAACTTTGGAATTCCCTACCACCTAATATCCGTGATTCTAAATCCATCCCAATCTTTAAAAGACTCGTAAGGGAGCACTACCTTTCCTCATCTTGTTCAAATTAGTGTCATGTATATATATATATGTATAATATGTTTATTTGTAATATACTCTAATATGTGTATTATTTGATGTGTATCTATCATATGTATGTATAGGTCTATGTATTTTATTGTGATCTATTTATTTAACACATTTCATGTCGTGTTACGCACAGTGTCTCTTTTTTTACCGTTTTTCCTGTCGAAGGACTGCAGGAAGAGATTCCTTCGGGAATATGTAGTTCCTATGTACCTCCAAAATATTTATATATGTTCTCCTGTGTACTGTCTGTGTGTTGTGCATAAATAGATAAATAAATAATTTCGATTTGAAATGGCCAGCTGCAGAACGGCAATTTCATAGGTAAAGACCTAATATAAGGCTTATGTGTTTGTTTGTATATGTATGAAATAAAAAAAAACTATATTTGGTGCTCCATTTTCGGAACACAACTGTACAAAAGTAACTTATCAGATTTTTAATATCCATTATCCCATTCGTGATCAAGATGTATTCAAGCTTTTTCTCGTTCGCTTACATATTACGCGGGGGCGGCCCTCCGCCACTGTCCTTCATTCATTGGGATTCATTGGGATTTGTATGGAGCTTTACACACGATAGGCACGTGCAGCGCAGAGTCACTGCACTAGTCCTAATAGGATTTGTATGGAACCATACATACGACGCGGCAGCCGTAGCAAGTCTCGCCATCGTGTGTAAAGCTCAAGTGAAGTTAGCGCAGTGGCACCGCGGCTGCAGTCTAAGTGCAGGCCTGCGGACGGAGACCAAGGACAGCTAGTATTTAATTAAATTAACTGTAACTTACGTGCTTACGCTGGAAATCAGAAATAGAAATATAAAATAAAAAAAACAATGTTAGGTACTCCATTGTTGTAGGTTGTTGTAGGTACTCCTTTTTCGGAACAGCAGATTAATATCCATTGCTCCATTCGAAGATTCTTTGCAAACTTAGGACAGAGTAGTGAGACACCAATAGTAATATTATGTTTCTACAACCTACTTACACCTACGACGGTCACCGCCCGGTCACTGTAGGCTGCTTACATGTTACGCGGGGGCGGCCCTCCGCCGCTATCCTAGCTTCATTTGGATTCGTGTGGAGCTTAACACACGATAGATTCATGCAGCATGATGCCGTTGCACTAATTCCAATTAGATTTGAATGGAGCCATACATATGATGCCGGCTACGGCGTCGTATGTATACTACCACTAGCCAGTGGTAGATAAGTCTCGCTGTCGTGAGAAAAGCTCCATACAAACTCGAATGAAACTAGCGGAGCCGCTGCCGCTGCGGTATAATGTGGAAACAGTCTAAGTGCAGGGCTGCGGACGGAGAGCAAGGACAGCTAGTATTTAATTAAATTAACTATAACTTACGGGGAAACGCTGGAAATCAGAAATAGAAATATGAAAAAAAAAAAAATTTTTTGGTGCTCCATTTTCAAAACACAACTGTACAAAAGCAACTTATTAGATTGTTAATATGCATTGTTCCATTCGTGAGCAAGATGTATTTCAAGCTTTTCCTCGTTCGGAATCACGCGACGGTCACCGCCCGGTCACTGTAGGCTGCTTACATATTACGCGGGGGCGGCCCTCCGCCGCTATCCTAGCTTCATTTGGATTTGTATGGAGCTTTACACACGATAGGCCCGTGCAGCGCTGAGTCACTGCACTAGTCCTAATAGGATTTGTATGGAACCATACATACGACGCGGCAGCCGTAGCAAGTCTCGCCATCGTGTGTAAAGCTCAAGTGAAGTTAGCGCAGTGGCACCGCGGCTGCAGTCTAAGAGCAGGCCTGCGGACGGAGAGCAAGGACAGCTAGTATTTAATTAAATTAACTATAACTTACGGGCTTACGCTGGAAATCAGAAATAGAAATGTTATATCTTATAGATAGTATTATACAGGGTGACTTGTAACTCGACGTATTCCTCTCACAAGGTGATAATACAACTAATTTCATACAAAATTAGCTCTGCGGTCTGTAGTCCAAAAGTGGTTAGCTAGTTTCTGAGATATTCAACATTTTCGGTTTTGGTGAAAAATCCCGATCTAACTACAAAAACATCAATCAATACATAAAAGAGTACTGGTTAGATTAGAGATTTTAACTTTAATTGTCAATACATGAATAAACATTTGTTAATACTAATACTTTCAGAAATATCATTCGTTTTAAAATATCTAGTTCATTATTATCCATTTTTGTTTTGAGTCACCAATGTGGTCAATAGAAAACTAGATTAACACCTTAAACGCCATGGGGGACAAGGTATGGGCCACGATAGTGGAGAATTTACCTTTTTTACGGTGGCAGTCAAAAGCTTAATTAAAAAAAAGATACATTATATTACATTTAGCGTACAAACTATTATAAAAACTTTCTTGGTTTATTAGATACCCAAAAACATAAAATTATTTATAAAATTCTCAAAAATAAATTAATAACTTGATGATAAGTAGAGTGTGAAGGAAAACGGGAAATTCAAATTTCAAAAACATAATTATTTACTAAATTTTGTTCAAAGTGACCTTCCCATGATGCACACGCTTCCTTATCTCTATGACGGTCATTCTTGAACTGAATGAGCGTTTTATTTCATTAGCCGCTTTAATTATTTTTTCGAGAAGCATTTCGATAGACGGAATTAGCGATGCATAAACAAAGGACTTTCATGTGCCCCCACACGTAAAAATTAACTTGCGTTAGGTCTGGACATGGTGCGGGTGCACACCCCCTACCAATTCAATGCCTTAGAAACAACGTGTCCAGCCAGCCATTGCTGTACAGCAATTCGATAGTGCGCTGCCAATGGTGATAGAATATCGTTCGTCTTGTTTCTGAATCCACATTTTCAAGCAATGACCCTAGCTCATTCCTTTAAAATTCCTCATAATTATCATCATTTTAATTATTGAACAAAGAGTTGGGTTCAATCATTCATCAATCAAATAATTATCGGGAAACATCATATTACAGTTTTAATCCCGGAAATTCTAAGGGTGTCAGGAAGTCGCTGCCGCAGCGGCATCATATTATTTCATTAAATTAAATGGAACTTACGCTATTGCGCTGGAAATCAGAAATCGAAATATGAAAAAAAATAAATTTTTGGTGCTCCATTTTCAAAACACAACTGTACAAAAGCAACTTATTAGATTGTTAATATGCATTGTTCCATTCGTGAGCAAGATGTATTTCAAGCTTAGGACAGAGTAGTGAGACACAAATAGTAATATTATGTTTCTACAACCTACTTACACCTGAACAAAGGTCTCTTCTCAGAAGGAGGTTTGAGTATTTACCATCACACATGTCACATGTCAACGGATGACGTCATAAAATCCTACATCGCACATGTGAAGTTTACAATCACGTTTACATCAATTTAACACGAGTAGAAAATCCCAACGAACAACTGTTGGGCAGAAATCCCGCCAGGCACGATCACCTCGCCTGGTCGGAGGATCCTCCTTTTCCGATCTTAGGGAACTTTACCCTCTTTCCCTAGGGAACAGAGGTTCCCTAAAACTGAAATTACAATTCTAGGTTTCCTCACGCTGTTTTCCTTCGCCATAAGTCTATGGTGTCTAGATAATCGTAAAAAGTACATGTAACTCGGAAAAAGTCACATTGGTACTTGCCAGATTTCGAACCCGCAACTCATGCATTAGAAGCCTAAACCTATGGGCCACACTGGAGGCCCAATTCCAATATTTGAATCTATTAAAATTTTATTAATAGATTCAATTCATTCAAATTATTAAACAAAAAATTGTACCTCTTCGCTATGATATTCCTCCTAGTAAAAATTAAAGAAACATGTTTAAAAAGTGGCATTTACACCATAACATTACACTGTAATAGGGAAATATATTTAATGCTAATTTATTGTAACTTCCGTCTCGCGGAAATGACAAAGAAAAAAACGATATAAATAATCTAAATAAATGATACTGTGCCTTTATTTTGTTACCAAAGAATGGTGAAAAACCCGTGCTCAAGCTCCTTTTGTCAAATCTTTGTAACTGACATGTCGCGTATTATTTTTGTAAAATATTTCTTCACCTATGTACATTCCAACAAAACTTACAAAAACAATCGTATAATTCGTAGTTTTTTCTCTATATGTGTGATTTACAAAATTCATCAAAATGCTAATTGGAATAAACATGTTGATTTATAGGTGATTTGTAACTCGACATATTCCTCTCGGGAGGTGATAATATGCCGCCATATAAAAACAATCTCTTCTCTTCTCTATGATGCTAGTAAAAATTAGAGCAACATATTTAAAAAGTCATATTTACACCATAATATTACACTGCATTATTACACACTATTATTATTTAATGCTAATTTATTATAACTTGCATCTCGCGGAAATGAAAAAGAAAAATACGTAATAAATAATCTAAATATAAAATTTTGTTACTTTATTTTCTTATCAACCTACAAAAGTAATATTGTTTAGATGTTCATTAAAAAGACGCACAGGTGGACTTAATGCTTTAGGCATTGTCTCCCAGTCAACCTTTAAGTAGTGTAGAGATGAAAGTAGCATAACTTGACACGCGGTCATTCCATGTAAAAAAGATTTGCTTTTATTTTGAGCAATTCTTCCGCCTTGGGTTACGCGAGAGGAAGTGTCAGACTCTTGCTGACTTAAAACCATTCATACTCCTACTTCAACCCCTAAACATAATTCACACGTACGGGCTCAACACAAAATTCCATTTCATTTCGCATTCGCCGTTCGAAGTGAACAGACGTATTAGCAAGACCGCTTATTAGCAATATTTATTTAATGCAATAATAGTGACCTACTTGATTTAGATTTGCTTATACACTGAAAATAAGTATTATAATATGGAAACATAAACATATTATATCGGTTAAAAATGGATAAAAGCCCCAGCAACCTAGCTTCCTGTGCCTCACCAATTAAAAGCAGCCTTCAAACTGACTTCACTATCGAAGTTGTGTCAACGCCCGAAATGCAGAAATGGATGGCATCAATTGAACAATAATTAAATGAAGTTTGCTCTATTGCTACGGAGGGAAAACTGAACTCAGAGCAAAAATTGAAAATTACAAACCTAAGCTGTAAAATTGGATCCAGCGTCTCACAAATGGCAGTTTTGTATCAATCTCTCAAGCAAAAGTCTCGCCTAGCTATTAACATCATTGATGACCTAAAGGAGAAACGTGACCTGGCAGATCAAATTTCGGAGATCAAGAATATAATCAAGAACTCTACTGGAATGGGAAATAATAATTCATTTGCTGACATGGTGAAAAAGGGTAAGAACTTCGTGCGTCCCAACAATTTGAGCTCTGTCGCTATCTACCCTGTGAATCCATCAGTACAATCAAGTGACGAAACAAAAACTATAGTCCAGAAAATAATACGCCCTGATGAATTGAAGTTGCATGTCCGAGGACTCCGTAAAACACAAAATGGAGGTGTTATAATTAGCACCGAAACCAAGGAAGACGCTGAAAAAGTTAAGGATGCAGTTCAGCTATCATCATCTGGCCTTACCACCGACGAACCTAAAAAACGTCAACCACGACTTACGGTTGTAGGAGTACCGAGTTCTATGTCTGATGCTGAAGTATTCAAGTGCATTTATGAGCAGAACGTAGCTGACAAGTTTTCAGGGATCTCAATGGAATCCTTTCTAAAAGATATAAAGTTAAGCCATAAATCCGGAAGAAAGGACGCACCGGTCTGCAATTATATCATATAAGTCTCTGGCAAGATACGCAAAGCTCTTATTTCTCAGGAAAAACTTTACATCAATTGGACTTCGTGCCCTGTCAGAGATTTTACGCTCGTTACCAGATGCTATAAATGTCAGCAATACGGTCACGCAGCAAAAACCTGTCGAGAGCCCTTTTTATCGTGTGGTCATTGTGGAGAAGTAGGACACGCATTATCTGATTGCAAGAAAACAACGGAGTCTCCTAAGTGTGTAACTTGTACCCGCTATAGCAAGCCGAATAAGCATAAAACGGGTGATGCTGAGTGCCCTGCTAGGAAGATAGCGGAGTACAGATTCATCAACTCAATAGACTATGAAGGTGCATAGTACGCATATTGTTGTACGTCAGAGTTAGGTGTTGATTCACCTTCCTTTGCACAATAATTGCGCAACGTATTCAGTTAGCCGACGGAAACTTTGTTGCTGTACAAGCAAAAAATTTTAATACTTTATAATAACACGAGTGAAGTGAATGACCATAAGAACTTAGTAACCTAGTTTTATTTATGTTTCTGCCGATGTATGTAATTCCACAGCTGTAGTCATATTATGTATCATTATCATTGGTGAACTGGTTAATTAACAGAAAAAAAAATATATATATATATATCTCAACTCACACAGTTCCTGATAATCTTACACTCATATTTGCACTCACTCTTTCACTCACCTACTCACTCAATCACTCATACACATACTCACTATACATGATTTACATACTACACATACATACATTGTGCGATCTGGTATTTTCATAATAACTGTTATTCATTTCAAATAATTATAAATAATTATACTCATTCATTGTCTCGGCGATTAGAATTGTAAGTTTAACTTGATTTATTTTCTTCTTGTTTTATTGTTAATCTTGCATGTTTACATTATCTACATTGTAACTTCAATTACTTAGAATGTCATGTGGAAGTGCGGAGTCTCCTAACACAAGCAATCCATTGCTTAAAAGGTGATCTCCAATAATTTTATGTAATGCCTTTTGTAATTGAAAAAACATTTTTTATTTTTTTTATTTTTATGTATTAGTTCTAAATAATTTGTCATAATTATGTAGGTATTATTATATTATAATGAATGTATTTAAATAATATGTAATATATGGACGCGGGAGAAGATCGCGCCGTAAGTGCTTAGCCTAAGACTGTCGTTATACTTTTCACCCAAGTTAATTTAAAGTTTAAAAGATAAAATCCCGGAATATTAACGACATGGTTCCTGCTGTAAATGTCTTGTGGCTGCTACGATGACGAATAGATGTTGAAGTAATATTTTCATAATAATATGACAAATAATTGTATTAAATAAAGGAATGTTTTGAATGTTGAAAAACTTATGATTTTCTTACCTCGTTGCTTTCCGGTACGAACTAAAAAATTAAGTTCACCTTTAATATCCATTGCTCCATTCATGTGGCCGAAGCATTTCAAGACTTTACTCGTTATCAAGCATTCTTTGCAAATGTTACCTACTCAGGGTACACAGTAGTGTTATATTTCAAAGTGATGCTAGTATGCTCTGTCTAATATTGGTCAATTGTAGCATATTTACCTACATATTTTTTTGGTTCTAGTCTCACTATACGATAGGATACATATTTTTTATGACAACAATCTCAATTTTATTAAATAAAGTGACTTTCTGAATGTTGAAGAAATCTATAATTTACTTACTATTTTTTCACCATTGGGCTGGTAAAAAAAGTAACACATAATACATTTAAAATGTTTTAAACATCTGTTTACCTTACTTAACACGATCACGATATACACAGAGCAAGAGGGGAGGGAGGAGGGACCCTCTGTGGTTCGAAACTAGTTGAGCTTTTCTGAGTATATTCACGTGAGTAACCCGCGATTTTTACGAATGATGTCAATTTACTTACCTCGATATACACGTGCCCAATTACGTTCCCATTCTTGTAAAATATAAAATAACAAAATTAAAGTGGCATCAACAGTATTTCATACTTGTTAGACATAATAAATAATAAATGGGAAAGTGTGTGCGTTTATTTATCCATCTTTCACGGCAAATATGAACGAAGAGTTGACGTGATTTTTTACGACGAGGTACTTAAAGGGATGGAGAGTGCCATAACCTTATTTTTGCTTCTTACAGACCCCCCCTTACCCAAAATGGAGAATGGAAATTTATATGGAGTGCTCCGCAATTTTCTAGATAGAAAGCTAAAAATTGGTATGCAAACTATTTGGGACTAACACATTACATTTTTTATAATTTTTTTCCATTAAACATTACGCCAATAAAAGTCGAGCAGCGGACGGGAGCAGCTATTATAGTCTTAATAAAAGATAATAATAATTTACTTACTTTATCAATGACCTTTACGTTCTGTCTTTTCTATAAAAAATTAAACCAACATATTAAAAAGAGGCATAGCGTTACGGGTTCTTAAATCCCAAATGGGTAGGCAGAGACACACATATTACACATAATATACAATGTAAGGGCTCGTATACAAAACTGAGATGCGATGCGAATTCGCAACACAAAATATACGGTGCGTGGTTTTGCCGTCGTGAGTAAACAAACTCAAGTGAACCTGGCGATACATCTGCTGTTGCGGTATAATGTGGAGACAGTCTAAGTGCAGGGCTTTAACGGAGACCAAGGGTAGCTAGTATTTAATTAAATTAATTGTAACTTACAGGCTTAGGCTGGAAATCAGAAATAGAAATCTTAAATTATATATTACCTACTATTATATAAAGCCAAAGAATTTGTTTGTTTGTTTGAACGGAAATCTAATCTAATCTCCAGAAATACTGATCCGATTTGAATTTCTTTTTGTGTTGGATAGTGCATTTATCAAGGAAGGCTCTAGGCTATCAAATATGATGCTACGACCAATAGGAGCCGAGCAGCAGGTGATAGATTGTGTAAACACGAAGGCAACTTACGACTTTGTCTCTTGTTTACGTCTATACAATCCAGCCGATTTGTATGAAATTTGGTACAGACATAGATTGAAACTCGAAAAAGAAAGTGAAATTATTTTTATTCCGAAAATTCCCCAGGAACGGGAACAGCAGTGTTAAAATCTTAGGACTCTGTATCTTCTAAACTACTGAATCAATTTCAATGAAATTTCATACAGACATAGTATGAGAATCTAAAAAGACGTGGGATAGCCTTTTTCTCGGAAATTCTGCGGGAACGGGAACAAGATAGTTAAAATCCCGGGATTCTCTATCTTCTAAACTGCTAAATCGATCGAACCGATTAATTAAATTTGGTACAAACATAGTTTGAGACCTGGGAAACCACGTATTATAGGTTAATCCCGGAAATTCCACGGGCGTCGGGAAGTCGTTCCCGCTGCAGCATAATATTATTTAATTAAATGTAACTTACGCGCTTGCGCTGGAAATCAGAAATCAGAAATATAAAAAAATCTAAGTTTGGTGTTCCATTTTTAGAACATAACAAGAGCAACTTATCAGATTTTTAATATCCATTGTCCCATTCTTGAGCAAGATGTATTCCAAGCTTTTTCTCGTTCGGAATCACGCGCCAGTCCCCGCCCGGCCACCGCAGGCTGCTTATATATTACGAGGCAGCGGCGCCGCCGCCGCATGATGTTTCAAAAGTTAAGTGCAGGTCTGCGGACGGAGAGCAAGGGCAGCTAATATTTAATTAAATTAACTGTTACTTACGGGCTTGCGCTGGAAACCAGAAAAAGAAATATAAAATAAAAAAGAACAATGTTTGGTACTCCATTTTCGAAACATAACAGAGTCATTAGTCAGTACATGAGTCATCGCCATCATATCAGACATAGGTTGTCCATTGCTGAACATAGGCCTCCCCTAATGACTTCCAGATAGATAGATTCATCCGCCCCAACCGGACACGACCGCGCGTCGATAATAGCCTGCCGCTCGTCGGATTACTCCGGCTTGAGCGCGGGCCCTGGCTGCGCCCCCACCGGATACGACGCTGCATCAGGCCCCGCTATGGGCCCGACTACTCCAACCCCTCGCCTGCAATCGCAGGCAGCGACCAGATACCACCGAGACAGGCGTCGGCCTGGTTCACGCGACCTCGCGCCCCCAGTCGGGGTCGGTGAGAAGACTACGGAGTGGCGCCGCTGCACTAACTTCATTTGGATTTGTATGGAGCTTTATATACATAATGGGTAAACAGTCTAACGACTCTGAGGGCGGAGAGAAAGGGTTGCTAAGATTTAATTAACTGTAACTTACGGGCTTGCGCTGGAAACCAGAAATAGAAATATAAAATAAATAGAACAGTGCTTGGTACTCTATTTTCGAAACATAACAGAGTCATTAGTCAGTACATGAGTCATCGCCATCATATCAGACATAGGTTGTCCATTGCTGAACATAGACCTCCCCTAATGACTTCCAGATAGGCCAGCTGGAGGCAAATCAAACCGGAATCGCCTCCGTGCGAGCAGTCGCTGACGCTGCGCACTATCGTCAAGGCCCCTCGCTTCGTAAGGAACGCGACAATCGCCCGAGACCTCGGCGTAAAGAGCGTCGATGCCTTCGTGTAGCGCCTGAACACCAACATGTTTGAGTGGCACGACCTCATCCGGGAGCTGGTGCCATACCACCGGCGCCCCCCTGACGGCCTCAGCCTCCCGTGAGACCTAGTCGCACCGACCGACCCATCGGACGACTCGTGAGTCTCCCGCTCGCCCGCTCTAGGTGAGTTGGTAGAGACTCCGCCCCCACCGGACACGACCGCGCGTCGCTATTAGCCCGCCGCTCGCCGGATTACTCCGGCTTGAGCGCGGGCCCTAGCGGCGCCCCCACCGAACACGACGCTGCATCAGGCCCCACTATGGACCCGACTACTCCAACCTCTCGCCTGCAGTCGCAAGCAGCGACCAGATACCACCGAGACAGGTGTCGGCCTGGTTCCCGCGACCTCGCGCCCCCAGTCGGGGTCGGTGAGAAGACTACGGAGTGGCGCCGCTGCACTAACTTCATTTGGATTTGTATGGAGCTTTATATACATAATGGGTAAACAGTCTAACGACTCTGAGGGCGGAGAGAAAGGGTTGCTAAGATTTAATTAACTGTAACTTACGGGCTTGCGCTGGAAACCAGAAATAGAAATATAAAATAAATAGAACAGTGCTTGGTACTCTATTTTCGAAACATAACAGAGTCATTAGTCAGTACATGAGTCATCGCCATCATATCAGACATAGGTTGTCCATTGCTGAACATAGACCTCCCCTAATGACTTCCAGATAGGCCAGCTGGAGGCAAATCAAACCGGAATCGCCTCCGTGCGAGCAGTCGCTGACGCTGCGCACTATCGTCAAGGCCCCTCGCTTCGTAAGGAACGCGACAATCGCCCGAGACCTCGGCGTAAAGAGCGTCGACGCCTTCGTGCAGCGCCTGAGCACCAACATGTTTTAGCGCTCCGACCGGTCGCGGCACGACCACCTCCGGGAGCTGGTGCCATACCACCGGCGTCCCCTTGACGGCCTCGGCCTCCCGTGAGACCTAGTCGCACCGACCGACCCATCGGACGGCTCATGAGTCTCCCGGTCGCCCGCTCTAGGCGAGTTGGTAGAGACTCCCCCCCACCGGAGACGACCGCGCTAGCCCGCCGCTCGCTGGATTACTCCAGCTTGAGCGCGGGCCCTTGTGGCGCCCTACCATAAACGACCGTGTGCCACTAACAGCCCGCCGCTCGTCGGGTTTATCCTGGCTCGAGAGCCCTAGTGGCGCCCCCGCCGGACACGACGCTGCATCAGTCCCCGCTATGGGCCCGACTACTCTAACCCCTCGCCTGCGACTGACGCCTGTCTCAGTGGTATGTACAATGGTACAGGCGAGGGGTCGGTGAGAAGACTACGGAGTGGCGCTGTTGCACTAGCTTCATTTGGATTTGTATGGAGCTTTATATACATAATGGGTAAACAGTCTAAGGGTGGGACTGAGGGCGGAGAGCAAGGGTTGTTAAGATTTAATTAAATTAATTGTAACTTACGGGCTTGCGCTGGAAACCAGAAATAGAAATATAAAAAAAAAAACAATGATTGGTACTTCATTTTCGGAACATAATTGAGTCATTAGTAGCTTCCATGCTTTGGCACGGATGGGCCGGTTCGACCAGAGTGATATCACGGCCTCACTGAAAACCGACGTGAAGCAACGCTTGCGTTGTGTTTCGTCGTGTGAGTGAGGTTACCGGAGGCCCAATTACCCCCCTTCCCCAATCTTCCCAATGCCTGAATCCCCAACGATCCTCAAACTCCTAATCGCCAAAAAGCCGATAACGCACTTGTAACGCCTTTGGTGTTCCAGGTGTCCATGGGCGACGCGGATTGCTTACCACCAGGTGATCCGTTTGCTCGTTTACCGGATTATGCCATAAAAAAAACACTATCATATCAGGCATAGGACGTCCATTGCTGAACATAGGCCTCCCCTTCCAGATAGGCCGGTTGGAGGCGATCTGCATCCAGTGGGTCTCTGCGACCTTAATCAGGTCCTACGTCCTACCTAGGTAATTTTTTTTCAGATTTGTAATAGCCTCCATTCGTATGAAATATTCAAGTTTTTCCTTGTTGAACCGATATCGAAGATTCTTTGCAAACTTCGTGCAGAGTAGTGAGACATCAACAGTAATGTTTCTACAGCCTACTTACGCCGAGCCGAGCAAAGGTCTTTTCAGCGGAATGGTTGGCGATTCCAAACTTATAACTTATAATTGAAATTGCAATTTTAGGTTTCCTCCCGCTGTTTTCTTTCTATTTCTGTAGTGTGTAAATAATCTTAGAAAGTACATATAACTCAGAAAAGTGACATCGATACCAGCCACGGTTCAAATCCGCATAATGAAAAGCGGGAGTGCTAAGCTTGCGGGCCACCGCAACCTTAGGTCACGAGTGAGGTAAACGGAGGCCTAATTCCATATTAAAAATACGTACCTCTTCGCTATGATGTTCCTCCTAGTAAAAATTAAAGAAACATGTTTAAAAAGTGGCACTTACACCATAACATTACACTGTAATAGGGAAATATATTTAATGCTAATTTATTGTAACTTACGTCTCGCGGAAATGACAAAGAAAAAAACGATATAAATAATCTAAATAAATGATACTGTGCCTTTATTTATTTTGTTACCAAAGGTTACCAATGGTGAAAAACCCGTGCTCAAGCTCCTTTTGTCAAATCTTTGTAACTGACATGTCGCGTATTATTTTTGTAAAATATTTCTTCACCTATGTATATTCCAACAAAACTTACAAAAACAATCGTATAATTCGTAGTTTTTTCTCTATATGTGTGATTTACAAAATTCATCAAAATGCTAATTGGAATAAACATGTTGATTTATGGGTGATTTGTAACTCGACATATTCCTCTCGGGAGGTGATAATATGCCGCCAAATAAAAACAATACTTACCTCTTCACTATGATGCTAGTAACAATTAGAGCAACATATTTAAAAAGTCATATTCACACCATAATATTACACTGTAATAGGGAAATGTATTTAATGCTAATTTATTGTAACTTCAATCTCGCGGAAATGACAAAGAAAAATACGAAATAAATGTAAATCTAAGATTTTGTTACTTTATTTTGTTACCAAAGTATGGTGGACCACACACCCAAGTCCGCTACATCTTTGCAACCGCGTGCAGGTGTTGTAAGACGTTTCGAAAACCGTAGTATTTTGATTAGTTCCCGTTCCCGTGGGATTTTCGGGATAAAATAATTCTCCTGACTTAGATATCGCCCTGCAGCTTAACCTCTCTGCTCTACCTGATTTTGATATGTGTCATACTACTTGAGTTGGCGGGAAATTGTGAAATACGTTTGTCATAAAATGTAGAAATTATCAGCAACTCCTAAACTACAAATTTTCTTTAAATCCTCTAGTAAGGTGACCATGTAATAGCCCTACTTTATTGTCGCGGAGAACCTAACGGGTAACCGGGGCTCCGGCTCGACGTGCAGGAGAAGGAACGGGGTGGTTTTTAGTCAGTAAGAGTCTGACACTCCCTCCCGCCTCACCCAGGCGGGAGTAGTCATTCGATGATTTTCCCCCCTTTAAAAAAAACCCTACTTTATTGGAAACATCTTTACATGTGTGCTTATGACTACTATACATTACTACCTTTCAAAATTAATAAAAAATCGATGTAATTTTTGCACCTATCGAAAATGTACATGACTTTAGTTTTCACCGAATTACACAGTTTCAATTTTTATTTTCAGTTATTGGGGTCTATACAAAATGGAGACCTAAGGATATTTAAAAAAAATACCTAAAAATTTATCATTTATACAAGCTAAACATAAAAACATCATTTTTTGTGTAATTGCAATACGTGACGTTTTAAGGGCGATCATCAATATGTAATTTTTACCGACTTCAAAAAAAGGAGGAGGTACTATGTTCGGCTGATTGTTTTTTTTGTTTTTTTTTTGTTTGTTCGCGCAGTACTCCGTGATTTGTGAACCGATTTCCAAAATTCTTTTTTTGTGACAGGGTATACTACCGAGATGGTCCCATTTCCATGAGATCAGGATCTGATTATGGTATCCTAGGGAAACCGAGGGAAATTTCGAAAATTCTATGGGCGAGTAGTGCGTCTATTATGTTTTTCAATTAGGATTTTTAAACACTACAATTTGATAAGGGTCTGGAGTCGACCTGATGATGGAGCCGATAGACAGTCGAGGGAACTCCTCAGCGGTTTATATTAACTACCTTGTGTTTGGGCTTGATTAATTTGTATTGATGAGAACTTTACACCTAGATAGAGTGTGGCTGTCATTAAGGGTCTGATGATGAAGAAGTGTAATTGTTAAGGGAACTCCTCAAAATTTAATTACATTTTTAGGTTCAGTAGCTATCGTTCTTCAAGACCGTTCCGTTTACACCCTGCCTATCATCGAACACGCGCGATCCAACGGTGCTGCCGAAACGCTAAATAATAAAGCCAGTCTTTGTTCCTGTATTACATATAACGTATAGTTATTTATAGTTATTCTAGCAACTTACATCTTCCTTGTTTTTATTCTTTTTTGATTCAACCTGTAATAAAAGAATATGTGTATGTGTCATTTGTAGGTTGCATACGATCTACAATTTTGTTTTAAACTGTCAAACACCAAGCGGTCACCAGTGACCGCAACCTATTGTTCTATAATTGTGTCTACAAAACCGGTACTCGACGAGTTAAAACGTTGTCCAATACTAGGTTTTTCTCCTGTATCGTGGGTGCGTTTACAAACATACAAGTTCACATACACCTATACCCGGAATAACAATCTGTGGATCACACAAAGAGTTATTATGTGCGGGAATCGAACCCGCGACACGTTACGCGGCAGCCAGTTGCCCAGCCACCGCACCAACCGTGCACTCGAATTAATGTTAAAACTATATAATTGTGTACATAGGTATAAATATGTATGTATACATGCATTTGTGCATACAAAGCGAGAGTATTGGTAATTCCGGATTATTGTTGTGTAGGTATGCTTAATTACTTACGTATTTGAAGTTAAGAAACTGAAAGCAGACGTTAGACATGTATAAAAGTACTACAATAAGGTTGAGTACACAGAAACGGCACCTACAACGCATGGTAGCGGCGCGGCGCGGCGCTTTATACTTTGGAAACAGGCTGGAAACCCGCTTACAGCCTTTTTTTATCAACGGTATGAATCATAACTACCATACGGCATAAGATTTTTTTTTTAAATAAAATAATAACTGGGTTGTAACGGTACCGTCGCTGTATGTCATGGTCATAATATACCATTTGCCATTTTGATTTATCTCATCATCATCAACAGACCAAAAGTGGCCACTGCTGACCAACGGCCTCCTTTCACATGGAGAAGGTTTGAGCAGTAATCACCACGCTTGCTCAATGTAGTTGGCGATTTCAAACTTATAATGTTTAATTACGTTTAGGTTAGGTTTTCTCACGATGTTTTCCTTCACCGTTTCTTAGTGGCGTCTAAATATTCTTAAAAAGTATAGGTAAGTGTTTTATCTAGTTACTAGATATAGTATATAGAATCTAGTAGTATATAGTATCTAGTAAGTATGTTTTCTTAAAACTTCTATTTACTTACGCCTAAGTCGTAAGTTCCTGGAGGTTCCTAAAAGCAAACCATGTATCACCTTTAATATATATTTAGGTAGACTTACAAAATAGTTCTAATGAAAAAATAAAATATTCAGAATTCTTGGCTATTGTCTTTGATACATACGGGTGCGGTATTGCCAGATGAGTCCTAAATTTAAAAAAATAGCATGTAAGTACATAATAAACATTTTAATATTAAACGGTTTTAATTGACTCTATTATACCAATCAAGGGCCTTTTTAATTCGCAGCACATAAAATTACGATGCGAATTGCTGCGATGCGATTTCGTGCGACAAGGCGTCTCACAGGGTAACCATTCCTTCAACGACCGTCAACCGTACTAAACGTATTTTAAATTGAAAACTAGGTCGTGACATGGATCGCACATTTTTAGTGTGCGCTTTTGTTATTGCTTAGGAGATAAAGAAAAAAGAAACAAAGAAGATTTTGGGAAGATAAGATTTTGATGCGCGATGCGAATCAATTTGCAAGTTTTCGCTGTGTAGGGGAAGCTCGCACATTTTTGCGATACGACGTATCAGATTGATGACAGATCAATCTGGTCTAGAAGGGCGTAGAACTCCATTTACTTTTGACAAAACCGAATAAACAAACGGAGCAAGCTAAATAAAACTAATTATGAATTTAACAAATTATGAATTACGAGCGATCCGCCCCGGGTTCGCACGGGTTCAATATTCATGTATTATACATATAAACCTTCCTTAAGAATCATTCTATCCATTAAAAAATACTGCATCAAAATCTGTCGCTTAGTTTTAAAGATCTAAGCATACATAACGACAGACAGACGGCAGATAGCGACTTTGTTATATACTATGTAGTGATTAAAACTAAAGTAATAAAAAAATTAAATATGGAGAATTGTTGGTTATATTTTTCAATACATACTTCGGCACGGGCATGTGGATACTAAATTGAAAAAAAAAGAAAACAACATGCGTTATTAGTTTTGAAAAAAAAAACAAATAAAATTGAAAACGTAATGTACATAAAGAAGCTTACGTAAGATACTTTTACGTTCTGTAAAAAAATTTAAAGAAACGTTAAAATTATCAGTGGTATGTATTTTATAAAAAAAACTTCAGCAATGTTTGCTGATGCTCACACCGATGGATTCGCTGCTTTATGGCGCAAAAAGACTGCATCGCTCATCAGTCGCCTGCGTGGAAGTCGTCATAGTATCCTGACTGCTATAGTCGAGAGACATGATTGTCCATTGATGCGTAAATTAGTGCAGCGGACTAAGTCCCGGTTTACTATAGCATATTAATATTGTATCTAAGTATAATTATATATTGTGTTCTTTCTTTACTATTATTTCGATGGATCTCAGTTATCTGAATAAATAAACTTTATTATTATTATTAACTCGTCGAGTACCGTCAATACAGACACAATTATAGAACAATAGGTTGCGGTCACCGGTGACCGCTTGGTGTTTGACAGTTTAATATAGGTAACACATAATAGAACATTAAAAACAAAGAAAATCAGTCATTGATAAAAAACAGCTGGGCTCAGATTCAGATCAACATTGACTAAAATACTTACTCCTTTGCCTTCATATTTCTACATTAAACAACAAAATGTATTCATTACATTTATGCAAATATTTTACATATACAAAAGCGATATAAAGTCTATAAAGTAATGAGCATACATAGAAAATAGATATAACATAACATCACGCCTTTTGTAACGAACGCGTAATGTACATTACGGCATTGCTGTCACTGTACAATGTAACACCCACTTGTCACCATTTATGTTATGAGTCCCATATAATAGGGGGTGAGACTATTACCATATACCGGGCACATTTCCAGAATCCGTGCTACTACTGACATTTTTTTGAAAAAAACCCAGTAATCGAACCCGAGACCCCTTGCCCGGCAGTCGCACTTGCGACCATTCGGCCAACAAGGCAGTCGTCGCACAGAAAATAAATTACCGAACAAAATACAGGATGAAAATGTATGAAGCCTCCAAAAACAACATTTTACAGCCATTAAAAGTCTAGTCTAGACAGCAGATAACAGGAATCTTTTAAATTAAAGATTTGATATATATTTGTTGATAAAAGATTAAAAGTAAAATAAAAATTAACTAAAAATCGCAGGTTATCGGCACATTAACTCAAATGCCTACGTGGTTAGGCTGCGCGACATCGCCGCGACCGCGCACGCTGCTCATGAGGAAGAACCCCTCTGTGGTTCGAAACTAGTAGAACTTTTCTCAGTATATTCACGTGAGTAACCCGCGATTTTTGGTTAATTTAGTATGTCTCACGATAATTATTATAAAAACATAGAATAAGAATATTATAATTTGAATACTAACTGCGGCCAGAGAAATCACTTGTTTCGTTAGAGCGTTGTAATTTGAACTCTGAAAACCAAAACATTCTTTATCGTTCCACCATAATGTATCTTCGATCAATCTAAACTTTGAGGGGAAAATAATCCAATTACTTCTCCCTCCCGGGTGAGGCGAGAGGGACTATCAGACTCTTATTGACTAAAAACCACCCCGTCTACTCCTGCACTTCGAGCCGGAGCCCCGGTAACCCGTTAAGTCTTCCGCGGCTCCGTATCGGCATCAGCCCTATTAGGCCCCATCTGTGGTATCAATCTACACTTGGGTGCACGAAACGGAGCCTCTAATGTCTTTTGCATTTTATTGAACTCTCTATTACTTAAAAAAACCTTTAACAACAAAATGTTCTCAAGGTCAAGTAATATAAAAGAAAAGAAAAAACGCTAAAGCTTCTGTCTGTGTCTTTGCTCCCAATAATTATATGCTTTGTTTATAAATGACTAGCGGCCCATCCCGGCTTCGCACGGGGCACTTAAGATTTTTTACATAGTTTTACGTTTTATTTATTTAGGAAGTTCTCAGTTTTTTTTTTATTTAGGAAGTATTTACCTTTTGAAAATATTTTTCCGGACTTCATTTACTTATTTCATTTATTTATGAACAATTCATCTATAGAGCATTTTTGTATAACTTTAACTATATGCTCAGCGCACGCCACGGAAGGCCTGAGAAACGATACTTTTCCCCCGTTTTTAAAACATTTTTGGTTACTGCTCCACAACTATAGGACCTAGCGTGATATTATATAGCCTATGCTACTTCTGAATAATGCAGCTTTCTAATGGTGAAAAAATTATTGCAATCAGTCCAGTAGTTTTTGAGTTTATTCATTACAAACATACAAAATTACAAAAATACAAATCTTTCCTCTTTATAATATTAGTATAGATGTGTAGATGGAGTATCACCATACAATAATAATAAAAATGGCGTCAAAAATTTTTTGTATGTGTGCGACGTGCGTGCAGCTCGTGGATACTCTTTTTTTTATTTTACACGGTGCAAAGTCAACCGTATTTATTTCATTAATTATGTGTTTATAGTGTTTGACGAGGAACTCGACTAGTTTAACTCGTCGAGTACCGTCATTATAGACACAATTATAAAACAATAGGTTGCGGTCACCGGTGTCCTCGCGGTGTTTGACAGTTTAAAGCCATTCTATAGCGTTATATTCATGCAAGCATTTATTTTAAATAAATCATAAATAAATAATAGTCTGTCAGTCTGTCCGTGCAAAAATGACGACAGATACAATGACGACAGATACAACGAAAATCTCTCCCATAAATATTACGGTACATTACTAGACCATTTTGAAATAAAATAAAAAAGAATATTTTTGAATTTATATTCAAAAGATTTTATTGGACTCTGCGTTGATATTTATATTTTTTCATGTAAGTTATTTATTTTCCATATGAAAACAATAAATGAATATTCATATTAAGACAATCTATATTAATTATTTCGTCAAGGGGTACGGCAGAATTGATCGAAACATTATTTGAATAACAAAACGTTAAAAATATCGATCTCGAGTCGACAAAAATATCCGCTAAATTCAGATTACGGAGATTATTTCGTTTTATTAATTCATTTTAATGACACTGACAGACAAACCGCAGTCGCCATCTTGAGTAGACAATAAACGTTTCGTTTCATACTAGCTCTCAATTACGCCTCGCCAACACGTTGTTGTCGCGTCAAAAAAATAAATTAACAAGAAAGATGAGTAATTTCACGCGATCGAAGTCGCGGGTAACACAGCTAGTCTTTCTATAAAATTAATTTAGTTCATATCATTGGCATATGGCACGCTGGCATATGTGTTAACTAGGGTTACGTATTTTGTCAACTTAAAAAAAAAATGGTTTTAGTTTTGTAATGTGTCTAACCTTATTTATGTGTTTTATGTCCAAATGCTGAAACACTACTCAATTTGAATTATAATACTACAAATTCACGTAGCACGATGCACGACGTAACAAAACATCACGCCTTTTTATCTCCGAAGGGATAGGCCGAGAAAGCAAAGGTTTCACTAATGACACTATATAATGTAACAAACAATGTATAAGTAAGTACAACTTAAAGTTGAGTAGTCTTTCAGAGTTCGGCCGTTAAATATTTACCCTCAACGCATTGTCGTACTCCTCATCAAAATCCTTAAGCTTTAAAGGCTCCTGAAAAATTTGTACATGTCATGAAATAAAACAGCACGGAGACAGAGAAAAAAGTATTTAGTAAATTAAAATATTAAAATAGATACTGCTTCTATACTTACGGATTTGTTGTTAGTTTCAACCTTGCCGTACTGAAACGAAAATAATTTTATTATTGATTAAGTAATGTTAGCAAGATTTCAGTTTTAACAAATAGGCAGTTAAAGTTAATATTATTATTTATATTATAACTTTCGTGAGAGGTACTAAATTAATTATTATGGGCAGTTTGACGTGGAACTCGACTAGTTTCAAGTCCAGTTCTAGTAGTTCTACTAGTTCTTCGACAGACAGTTAAGTGAGTAAGCCGAAAACATAATAATTAATATTATTATTACATAAAACTTAATGCACTATCAAAGAAACTGAAACAATGAAATTAACAAATTGGTAGAAGTTTCAAATTAATGTTGTCTTTTTACAAATTAAATATCATATAGACATCATTACACATTTTTAGGTCTATATTTCAATGGAACGTTATGGCGATGAAAACGTATCCAACATGAGGAAATGTGTATGCAAAAATATGTAGATATAGAAAATAATCCATTGACTTTTGTTTTATTTTCTATTCAGCAATTGGTCCAGTCAACCTTTTTATTGGGAACGGAACAACCCAACACACAGCGCCATCGACTGTAGGACATTTATGTGTGCATGACGCCTCAACTCTTGCTACATTGGCCGACTGCATAAAACTTTCAATAGTCCTTTTGGACAATTGCTGACACACCCTTCATACTCGTAAACGGGTGCCTTTTGCTGGGTCAGGTCGGCTCTCCCATCTTGTTGGTGGGCTAAATTCGTAGAGCCGTCGAAATAGATATAAATGGATAATAGCTAATTATTACGTAATTTATACTTTTAGTAATAATTATCGATATGGTTAATTGTAGTGTGTAACTAGGTACCTACTTTACTTTATAAATATTGATTAATCGTTTTGTAATAAAAAAATGTATGACAAGAGCACGGACCAAGAGTCCGTGGAGAATTAACATGTAACATTATAAAAAATCATCATGGTGATGCGGCCAGTCGTGCCACCGTGGCAGCCAGCCTGGCGGCTGTGTGAGTATCACACATGACACCGTACAGCGCTATCGTAATTGGTGGTGACGCCACCAGCGTGGATGAGCGACCAGTAACATTCTGTGCTAGCGTCCGAACAAAAAATCTCAATAATTATTCAATGTCAAAACTATACAACCCCTACCCCCTGTTTAAATAGCATTCAGAGTACGGATTATAAAGCCAAACTCGATACCATTTAGTTCATTCAATATCCACGTAATACGGATGCAATGGGCGCTAGTGTTGCAACTCAAGAGTACGAAATTTGACAATACCAATGTCGATCGATCGGAATTGGATTCAAGAGTAAGCCCCCTGGTCGGGCCATCAGATGCCTCTTTACAGAGCAGTATAAATTTTGTTGGTGGCGGCGACTGGTTGCGTTGACATAGCGTCCCAGCGAAATAAAGCCCTTTAATGTTGAGATGTTTTAAGTGTGGGGGAGCCGTGCTTCGGCACGAATAGGCCGGCTCGACCGGAGTGATACCACGGCCTCACAGAAAACCGATGTAAACCGAACCAACACTTGTGTTGTGTTTTATCGTGTGAATGAGGTACGCCTACAGTAACGCAGGGCCAATTACCTCTCTTCTCATTCTCCCCAATCCGCGGATCCCCAACAATCCTCATAATCGTAGTCCCCAAAAGGAAGTGCGTTTGTAACGCACTTGTAACGCCCCTGGTGCTTCGGGTGTCCATGGGCGACGCAGATTGCTTACCATCAGGTGATCGGTCTGGTCGTTTACCGGCTTATCCCATAAAACCCGTTTACCAAATTGCAAATATGATAAAAAATGATCTTTGTGATTAAAATGTATTTTTCATTAACGATTATCATGACTTTTATATTTACTTACCGTCGGAGTAGCTAGTACAACGAGCAGGCAATAAGAAATGAGGATTATCCACCTCATTGCAGCGAGCCCACAGTAACGCTGCTACTACAACCACCATTCACACCATATATAAAACCCTGTGAGGACCGTAAACAATCAATTGCATGGTCTCCTAAACCAAAACCCATTTTAAATACATATTTAAGTAATCAATTAATTCTGTTTTTTAATCAAATCGATTATGGCTTTGTGATATTATTACTTTTTCATTATTTCTATGTAAATATAATTAGTTTTTAAATTTTCGATAGTTTTAATTAGTTCTTAATTAGTATGATTTGACAGATAAACTATCGGCGGGCGTTAGATACCATGGTAGGTACGTACCTATAACTGTCAGACACAATGACATCAATAGCCTATAAGTGGCCACTGTTGACTAAAGGTCTCGGAGAAGGTTTGAGCATTAATCGCCACGCTTCCTTTTTTATTTATTTAAGATTTACCAACATTTGTTTACACCAATACAATTTTCGAGGTATAAATGTGAGTTCTTTACAGTAAGTGTAACAAATACTTATAGGTAAATACTAAATACAGCATTTACAAAATTATTATCCTACGTCTAAAACAAACTAGATATGAATTTTTAACAGGAAGAAAATAGGCGGTGCGCCTGTTTACTAACTAAAGCAAAACACAACTTCACTACACAAAACACCTGTATAGGTATATAAAAACTAAGTATATAAAACTAATTTTAAACACAAAAAAACTAACGAAAAGGAACAGTATACAATAAAAACAAAAAACAGTAAATTTTTCTTATGCGTGTGGTAACGACTTTTATACACTCGTAGATTTAGACACCATCAATCAACTCTTTGTTAATAAGTGCTTCAACAGCAGAGACCGGAACCCAACCAACGATGACGCGTGAATGTCTACTAAGTCACTGCAGTCGTTTATCAATCTACTCAGCCTTGGTAATGTAGAATTACCGCCCAAGACAGTCCTGCGACGAGGTGGATACAGAAGCGCGATACGGTTACGCGGGTATTTGGCAGGCACTCGGTATTTGACTTTTTTCAGAAGGGTTGGGCAATCTATTATGCTATTTATTAATTTATACATGAATAAGCCGTGTCAGTGATTTCAAGTGAAAGCACTTTTTTATATTCAATTGCAAGCCATTTCGGTCACACCACTGGACCAGACTGTCAATGTCACTCTGAATATAAATACAATCTTGAAATGATCAACTGTTCTTTCGAATTTCAAATCATCCGCATACATAGTTTTTTTCGAAAAATGGAAACACTTCGGTAGATCGAACAGGACTGGTCCCAGACATGAGCCCTGAGGTACTCCAGATGTAATATCTCGAGAGTCCGACCCAAATCCATTGACCACAACAAAAACACTAAGTTCCTCGAGGTATGACTGCAACCACTTCAATAACGTCCCAGAAATTCCGTATGCTGATAGCTTAAACAAAAGTACTCTATGGGACACGCGGTCAAATGCTTTGCTGAAGTCGGTGTAAATTGCGTCATACTGTTTGTTGGCACTTAAGGCCTGAGTAATTGTTTCTGAGAAAGTCACCAGATTTGTGCAAGTTGATCTTGATTTAACAAAACCGTGCTGGCTTTCGTCAAGGTACAATTTCAAGTGATTTTGTATGTACGGACATAGTAACGACTCGAAAACCTTTGCGAAAGCCGACAAGATTGAGATAGGCCTGTAGTTATTAACTATTTTGTCGCAATCACTTTTGTGTGTGTGTGTTAGATGTAGTGTGTAGATGTAGATAATATCTCGGGGAACGTTTTTATTTATATGTTGTATAATCACACGGAACGGAAATGTATAAAATTACCCGACGAGATTATAGAAACCAATTACCTACAATTTTTTCGAAACACGATATCTTAAAATTAATTCTTGTCGTTTCAATCCAACACAAAATGACATGGCGTTATTAATTTTTAATTATTTCCGATAAGGTAGAGTTGACAACATTTATAATTTGTTTGTGTACCTCTATAAAACTGAACCTTAATTATTCAGATTTAGAAATACTATTTGAGTCAACTTTCCATAACCCATATCTATCTATATTCTATATCTATGTAGAGGTATATATATACTATTATAAAGCTGAAGAGTTTGTTTTTTTGTTTGTTTGAACGCGCTAATCTCCGAAACCACTGATTCGAATTGAATAATTCTTTTTGTTAAGTAAAAACGCGGGTTACTCACGTGAATATACTGAGAAAAGCTCTACTAGTTTCGAACCACAGAGGGGTTCTTCCTCATGAGCAGCGTGCGCGGTCGCGGCGACGTCGCGCAGCTCACTCGCTCACTTTTACTTAATTTAGTATGTCTCACGATAGTTATTATAATTCTTTTTGTGTTGGATAGTCCATTTATCGAGGAAGGCTACAGGATATAAAACATCTCGCTACGACGAATAGGAGCCGAGCAGAGCGGGTGAAACCGCGCGCAAGTAGCTATATAATATAATACTGGAATAAAAAGTATTCCAGACCTTAATCTACTCCTGTTCCATCCCGATCCCTTCAGCTGCTTTGACGTGATTGAATAACAAACATAGACACAAACACACAGACTTACGCATTTATATCATTAGTTCCCGGGTCGGGCAAAGTATTACTGGGTTTTAAAAAACAATCTCAATGGTAGTGCGGAGTCTGGAAATGTGCCCGGTATATATAGGTAATAGGTTCACCCTTCACCCCCTGTTACATGGGACTCATAACATGAAGTAGTGAAAAGTGGGGGTTACATTATACAGAGGCAGACACGTCCAAATTCAATAATAAGTCGTAAATTTCAGATTCTCCCAAGTCTGTTAAAAAAGCAAATCTTAGGTCACGAGCGCCCAAAGTATCACCTACGATATTGTTCAAAAACCGCAAAAAATAACCGCGAAATTCATTACATTTCTAGGGTTTTATTATTGAATTTTAAAGATGACATTAAATGCAAATCGAAATAAACAAAAAACGTCGTAATTACTACAAAAAAACTATAATTACCTGCACGTGACGACGCCATGTTGTGATTAACCAAAAATGTTTACTGCAAAAGTTACATTACACTAAAAAATTTGCTTGCACGGCAAAGTAATACCATCTAGCGGACACTCAAGGAGATAACTAAAAATGGTAAATGTTCTTATAGAATCCCATAGATGGCGCAAAAAAAAATATTGAGGTATCATAGGTGATACCGGGAGTCTCAGGAGGTTAAATGCTGTAATGTGCACCTCTGCCCACCACTTCCGAAATAAAAGGCGTGAAGTTATGTTATGTAGGATAGGTATAAAGTTAGTTTAAAGATAAGCTGGTCGTTGCAAGACGAAATTTTCAACTGACATTGTCATTAACTTATGAAAGACTGACAACTTTGACTGCACTGTTGGTTTTGGTGTAGCGGGTTCGAAAGCACACGGAGCAACTCTTTGTGTGATCCACAAATTATGTTTCGGGTCTGGGTGTCATGTGTATGTGAACTTGTATGTTTGTAAACGCACCCACGACACAGGAGAAAATCCTAGAGTGGGTCAACGTTTGAAAAAGTGTGGGAGAGCCATGCTTCGGCACGAATGGGCCGGCTCGACCGGAGTAATACCACAGCCTCACAGAAAACCGACGTGAAGCAACGCTTGCGTTGTGTTTCGTCATGTGAGTGAGGTTACCGGAGGCCAAATTATCCCCTTCCCCAATCTCCCCAATTCCTAAATCCCCAACAATCCTCAAACTCCTAATCCCCAAAAGGCCGGTAACGCACTTATAACGCCTCTGGTGTTCCAGGTGTACATGGGCGAAGCCGATTGCTTACCATCAAGTGATCTGTCTGCTCGTTTACCGGCTTATGCCATAAAAAAAAAGAATAAAGAAGCAGGCGGATGGTTTATCATATCGTCATCACACTGCTGTGATTCTACTGTTGGACTATACTTCTTTACCAAAGAAGAGTTTCGCTATAAACTCCACGTTTCGCTAGCGTGTTGGAGGTCACAGTTTGAAAGCATTCGGTTTATCAGAAATGGCTATTCTACATCCATTCTGTACACATAATAAAACTGTAGAAGTGTTTTGAAATTGAAAATAATTAAATAATAAAAAATAAATAGTACGGGTGGGGTGTGATAGACACCGAAACCAAAAATGAGTTTAAAAAAGTTTGTCTGTCTATATGTTCACGTATCACGCAAAATCTACCGGTCCGATTACGATGACACTTGGTATGATTATACTTCAATATCCTAGACACAACCCTGGGAACGTTTTATCCCGAAAAAGTATATACACGAAAAAACAAACTTAATTGTGCGGCTCGATCCCTAGACACGGTTACTGTATCAAACGCAAATATAAGTTTGTCATATGTTAAGTAAGGGATCGGGATGAAACTTAGAACAGCTGATGTAGATTATGGTCTGGACTCTGGAATAACACATATAGGCGTTTTACCCCCGGGAATGCGGGCGAAGCCACTGGCAGAAGCTATAGCAACTGAACCTATCCAAATTCATTTCATTCAATCCAAAATTTGTCACTCGGACTCACTTCCAAAGTTTCGCAGAAAAGTCAGTTCGATTATTTTTGGTGATATGGTCCGAATGTAACGGGTTTTATTTATTTTGTCCTTATATTCACTGTTTTCATCACACATTGTTTTCATCATCATCCAGAGTCTGTATTTCCTGAAGGGTATAACTTGGGAGTCTTCAAGGCCAAGTGAATAGGTTGCTTATGATACGACGTCCTCCATCGTAGACCGCATCATCACCAAGCGCGAGACAGCGGTCAAACGTCGCCCCATCATCAGCAGCTAAAAGACATCCACTGCTAGAGAAAGGCCTCCTTCTTAGTCTTCCACGTTGAACGACAACTCGCCACCTGCATCTACTGGCTTGCCGCAACTCTAGCGATGTCCACCTAGCAGGAGGCCTGCCCTCGCTTCGTCTTACGGGCCGAGGTCTCATCTGCCGTCACGCTGTCGAGTTATTGATTTGCTCACTATTTTTCTTCTGATTGTGTTGTTAAGTATCTTTATTACTCATATCGTCGAATTCAAGTTTTTAATATGTAT